ACAAGGCAAAGCCAGGTGTTGATGGCGCACGCCTTTAATCCCAGACCGAGTTCCAGGACAGCCTCCAAAACAATACAGAGAAACCCTGCCTTGAAAAAAACAAAACAAAACAAAAAAAAACAAAACAAAACAAAACAAAAAAACAAACAAGGCAAAGTGAAGAACCCAGTATGTAAGGAACTGTAATTCAGGTTAAGAAAACTTCAGTGCCAATGCTTACAAAATATAGAAAATTTTCCAAGATCTCAAGGACAAAGAAATAAAAAAAGAGGTAACATGGGAAATAGATGAGTTAAGACCACAAATCAAGCAGTGGTGGCTGGTGGCACATGCCTTTAATCCCAGCACTGGGGGGGGGGAAGGGCAGAGGCAGGCGGATCTCTGTGAGTTCGAGACCAGCCTGGTCTACAAGAGCTAGTTCCAGTATAGGCTACAGGCTCCAAAGCCACAGAGAAACCCTGCTTTGAAAAACAAAACAAAGAAACAAACAAAAAACCAAACAACAACAACAAAACAGACGTGTGATCTGGTGAGATGGGTGATTTGGGGGTTCAAAAGGAGGAGTTAGAAAGGTCAGCATGGGAGGGTAAGTCACCTGCACGGGGCAGCCATGCTGAAGTGATCGAGCCTTCTCTACAACACTCAGCATCATTGTGAATGACCAGAATGGTACCGAGAACTTTACATGGATCATCCATTGGATTCCATACAAATGATCCATCTTGGTGTTATCAGTAAGAGAACAAGGCAGGTGAAAAGGAGGATGGGCAGAACCAAAATTCAATTCACTGGGTCTAATTCCTCAGCTGCTCACGACACACGCACTGTTGTGTTGGCATCGGATGCAATGCCTTAACATGTCTAAGCTGTTTTATCTTGGCATGTCTCATTTCTTGTTCAGCTCAACTGTATCTCTAGTGGGCTACCCCAGAAGGCCCACACTTGCTAAGGCTGTTCATATTTACGAATGTACTCATGGCCTTTATCCTCAAACAGCGGGACTGGCTGAGTGCTTTTATTTTTTCATTTTATTTGTGGCACTCTGGGGTCAATCCATGATTCCTTTGCTTCCACAAGATAACTCCACTCGTAATGACTTTTAAAGAATCATTCTGTATTTCAGCGCCCCTTAACAGCAGGAAGTAGTTTGGAAAGAACGACGCCCACATTCCCAAATATTGTTTATAAATATTTGTTTTTATATACTAAGATGAACATTAACATCCTAGTCACCTGAGATAGGTGCTAATTTATATATAAAGAAGCGGGGAGATGCTGGGCCCCAGCCCCATGGGGTCTCTGTGAGTTGCTGGTCAGCCTACAAGTGCAACTTGTTTTCCAGTCCAAGTGCTTTCTGTTTTCTAGTTCTGTTTTACTGCCCTGGCCTTGACCCTCTGACATCAACATTCAACAGGAGGAAAACAATGATCTCTTCTACCTGAGGTTTTTTCCACTGTGCTGTAAACCTGTATAAAAAGCTCCTCCCTCCTACAAGGGAGCACCTTAGCACTTGCAATGAAGACACACACAGACACACTCTCCTGGCAATAAAGGCAGCACATGCATTCTCTTAGTACAAACAAATGGACGTCTGGTCTCTCTTTTCCTGATACCTCGGACCTAGTTTGTGGTGCTGGCGCCACAATTCTGAATTTTAAGAATTTTATGAAATTTTCTCTTGATCTTTGAAACCTAATGATTAATGATTAAAAAAAATTAAAGGGCTTTCTGTCCAGGTGGATCTTCTTGTCGTAGCGGTGTCACTGATGCCCACAGGAAAGCAGCCAGTAAGAGAGAGATTTTCTCCAGGGCGCAGCTTTTGCAACTTGTACCACACAAATGCACTTTTGCACCTCGTTTCCCTTTAGATGATTAGCTGACGTCAACAGATAGTTAACTGACTTCCCACCGTCTCTCCGTCTTCATCAGTTTTGTTACAGTTGAGTGGTAGAGGACACGCCCTGGTCTTGGGTTTAATCCCCCCCCCACACACACACGCAACTCACAGACACACACACACCACTACCACTACCACTATGTTAGAATTTGAAAATTCAACGATAATAAAATTCTATGTTTTAGTTGAAAATTAGTACAGAATGAGGCTCGATTTTGGCAAAATTATCCCTGTCAGCCAGAAATCTGAAGTGAAAAGTGATGTTAAATATGATTGTTTCTAGGTGAAATTTGGGACATGTTTAAATTAATATTTTTCTCTATTGTTTCTTATGAAGATTAGTGTTTTTGTTTTGTTTGTTTTTCAAGACAGGATTTCTCTGTGTAACAGTTCTGGCTGTCCTGGAACTTGCTTTGTAGACCAGGCTGGCCTCGAACTCACAGAGATCCACCTGCCTCTGTCTCCTGAGTACTGGGATTAAAGGCACGTGCCACCACTGCTTGATTTGATAGCTAATTACCAATTTGGCCCAATCTCAAATTACCTGGGCAGGGAATCTGAACTCAGAATCATCTAGATTGGGCTGGCCTTCAGGTATGCTTATGAGGAATTTTCCTAACCTAGTAAATTAAATGGGAAGACCCATCCCGCAGCACCATTCCATAGGCAGGGCCCTGGAGTGAATGAAGAAGAGGGAACTTACTGACCACTACTATATAGGTCATTCACTCTCTCTTTTCCTGATTGCAAGCATGATGTAACCAGCTCTCAGGCCTGAGCTGTGACTGCCTTACTAAAAAGGACAGTAACCTGAAACTGTGAGCTGAAATAAAAACACTTTCTCCCTTAAATTGGCTTTGTTGGGGGTATTTTATCACAGCAATACACTTTAAAAGTACTTTAAATACTTCAATCTCTTTAAAATAAACATGCATTTTAAAGCCGCTGTACTAAACACATTTTATAACTTACTGGCTGACTAGGAAGCAAATGGGCTCGCCTGCCCTTCCCAAAGCCTGGCGACTGAATGCAGAAGCCACGGTGGTCCAGCTAAAGCTTTGCCGTGGGAGCCTGTGCCCAGCTCCTGCCTTGAGAAATATGCTGGTGAGAGGTGCTGTGTCCCATGGTGTGTACCTTGCTGGTGTTTTAAGTGAGAGGCAGGTCTCAGCTACCCTCTAGTCAAACTGGCTACCTGTCATTTCCCAAGTTTTGGTCCTTGCTACTCCAGTCACCCAGAATGCCTTTCTCCTCTCTGAGCCCTAGACAGTGTGTTTCCTCTAAGATACTATGCCTTTCCTGTATCTTTTTTTTTCAAGGTGGCTAGCTGATTTCCTCCTATGAATCCCCATAGCACCGCTTATAACCATCTTGCGGCCATTCACTCATGAGACACAGTCACTAACCATAAACTATATACATTATGGTACAAATGTCTGTATGCATTCCTTATCCTTCCAGGGACAGGAAGTATGCTGCACTCATTTGGAAGGTCTACAGTATCTCGCAGAGTGCCATTCAAAGAAAAGGACTCCAAAAGAGGCTCACTGGGTGACTGAATAACTGAATGCTAGTGGACATCTGGTGAACTGAACTGATTGACTTTATTTTTGGAAGCTTGGGGCTGGGGAAATAACCCAATGACTAAAAAACATGAATTCCAACATTCATGGAAAAAGTCGCTATAATCACAGTGCTTACCAGAAACAGGTTCAGCCTGATCAGTAAGTCCCAGGTTCTGAGAAAGCTGTGTCTCAATAAACAAGGGCCAGAGAGATGGAACAGTGAGAAAAGGCACCTGCTGGTTAGTAACCTGAGTTAGAGGGATCTGAAAAGGCACCTGCTGGTTAGTAACCTGAGTTCAATTCCTGGAACCCGTGTGGTGGGAGGAGGGATCTGACTCTGGGAAGCTGTCCTCTAATCTCCAAATACAATACACACACACACACATACCACACACAGAAACACATACACAGAGACACATACCACACACATACATACACATACACAGAGATACACACACATATACACATACCACATACAGACAGACACATCACACACACACACATACACACACACACACACGCACATACCACACACATATACACATACCACATACAGACACACACCACACACATATACACATCACACACACATATACACACACCCCACACACATACACACACCACACACAAATACACACATACATACTCACACACCACACAGATACACATACACACACCACACTCACACACACACATACACACACATGCATACACAGAGATACACACCACACACATATACACATACCACATACACACAGACACACACCACACATGTACACACATCACACACACACATACACACACCCCACACACATACACACACCCCACACACAAACACACAAATACATACTCACACACCACACAGATACACGTACACACACCACACCCACACACATATCACACACACACATATATACATATATATATATATACACACACACCACACACACCACACACACCACACACACCACACACCACACACACACACACACACACACACACACACACTTTTGGAAGCCTGTACATTTTTAGTTTTAAAAGACAAATGAGTTTCCTTGAAGGATAAATATTCTCCCTCTCTCTAAAGACAAAGGCACAGACATAAGGTCTAACTGGCTAAGTGGTTTCCCATTCTATTCCTTGCTGAGGTATTGATCCTGTCTTGAAAGTTAACACAGGAAAGAGGTTCTCCTTAGTTTTCCAACCCCAGATGATCACTATGGCTCAGAGACAGCTTTCCAAAATAAGCCCACACTCCATGGGGTTCCAGCTCTTAAACTGTAGCTCAAAAACAAACAAAAAACAAACCCATAATGGCACAGTGATATTGTGAGTTGAATGTAAAACAAGGGCATCACAAATATAAAATAATGCCTAGAATTAGAAGAATGTTCCTGTGAGACAATTCGGATTCGCATGGAAAGGTTGTGCCCTTGCTTAATTAAAGTTGTCATGCCAAAACAGAATGATTGAAGACAACCGTGTCCCCAGTGAGCCGGGAGTAACATGCTGCCACCTACTGACAATTGAGAGACACTGCATTTCTTGAGAAAACCTAAGAGCCGACAGAATAGGCACTTAGATGATTTTATTTGAAATGTAGACATTTGGCACCTGAACAATTCTTCCTCAGAAGCATCATCATACATGTAGTTGAAAAAGATCCTGCTGGACATAATGACCCACACTTGTGATCTCAGCACTAGAGAGCCTGAGGCACAGGGATTTAACTGCAGGCTTCAGCTGAGGACTGACGGAACTTCTGGTCAATCCACCAAAAAGAACCAGTGACAAGAGGGCAGGGGCATCCCCACGCGGAGGAAGCTAGAGACGCAGTGAGCACTACTGCCTGTGGATGAGGGATATGGCTTGCATGGTCCTCCTCCCAGGAATAGGGACCTGTTTTCTAGCTCTGTCTGCCTGTGGTCTAGTGAAGGGAAGGGCCTTTGTTGAGAGCCCCGAGGCAGTCCTGGGGGAGCAGAGCCCCACCACCACCACTCGGGATGCCAGCAGCCGAGGAGGGAGAGCAGGGTCTTGACACTTAGTATTCTTCAGCATCTCTCTCCTACGCACCGACCCCAACATTACCTGACCATGCACTGTCCCCAACATTAACTGACCAAAGACATAGCAGTGCCGCTATGTCTTTTCAGTTTTCTCAGCTTGAACTCCAAGGGGTACACAGGACTCGAGCATCTCGAGATTGTGTATGACTCTGTGTTTCCTGTTCTGTTGATTTGTTTGGACTATTGGAATGAAGGGCTGAATCAGTAGGCTAGCCTCTGGTGTCCCAGCTCCGTCGATGTTAGTTATCAGTTAAGGTTCTACTATAAGTTGGAGGGTAGACTTGGCTCAGTGTTGAAGGTTAGCTTTTCAAGAGCAAACATCCAGGGGAAAGTTGTAGAAAAGCCTACACCTAGTTAGATTAAGAAGGGCTTTGAAAGCAATTGGCTTAGATTTCTTTTTTAAAAAGTTATTTAGTTTTGAAAGGCACTTTCCCCATTTTTCATCCATAAAAATGGTTTTTACATAGCCAAGAAGTAGGAGTTTACATGATACCCATTCCCATTAATCCCCCATTTACATTGTTAGAGATCCAAAGAAATTACAGCGTGGATGGTCTGTGTGTGCGCGCTCCACTCTGGGTCTTCAGCGGTGGAGACTGGTAGCTGCAGCCACAGTGGTTTCTCTGGTGACTTTGTATCCAGCCATCAATGAATGCACTTCACAGTGTGCATGTGCTCCTGCCTCGGAAAGCAAGCAGCATGTGCTGGTGTCCTGGCCAGTTCTCTGGACCCCAAGGTCCCTAAGAGTAAAATGATCGTCGGGTTGGAGGTTTAATGACCAAGTTTATTTGAGTAAGGGAATTTGAATAGGTCTAGCAGAGATAAATAGTCTTATACTAGGAGAGGAAAAGTCTGAGCAGGGGCAGTAGGAGTGGGGACGAGGGGTCAGAGAGTTAACCAAAACTAAGGACATATGAAAAAGCCTTATAGAAACTCCCTGCTTTGTAAAGCAATTAACATACAATTTAAAAAAAGAGTTTGAGGAGCTGGAGAGATGGCTGCTCTTATAGAGGACCAATGTTCCTAGCAACCACACAGGTTGGTTCACAACCACCCCCACCACCTCCAGAGGATCCGATGCCTTTGGCCTCCACTGGTACCAGCACACATGTGCACATGCATGTGCATAAGTGAATAATGAAATCATTTTTTAAAAGTTTGAACAGATGTGCCCTGCATGATCCCAGAAGCCATAGGTTATTAAATGGAAATCTCAGTGCCAGGCATGGAACATCTCCTCTATGAACTGTTAGTCAAGAATGGTCTCAGGGTCCCCCCAAACAATATGAGCTTTTCTGCCATTGCTCTACTTTCCTCACTATAAATAGATGGTAAGACTACACCACACACTTTGGTCACAGGGCATAGAGACCCTGAACTGAGACGTAAGCTTCTCCCTGCTGGCTACGTTTATAATGCTGGACAGTGCTACACAGGCCACTGGAGGAAAAAATCATCATTGGTTTTACTTACCAGTGGAGCTCATGCATTACAATAACGATCTGCCAGAGAAGACACACCCACTGGATATCCAACCACGTTGTGTTTGGGAATGAAGCCTCTTCCACGGGAAGGAATTCATACCTGGTGTTGGAAAGCTCATCAAAAGTTTGTGGCTGGGGAGGTCATAGGCTATATGATGGAGTCTACTATCAAATAAGACTTCTAAATGCTTATCGGTTTCTTGTTTGTTTGTTTGTTTGCTTTTTGAGACAGGGTTCTCTGTTGCTTTGGAGGCTGTCCTGGAACTCACTCTGTACACCAGGCTGGCCTCAAACTCACAGAGATCCGCCTGCCTCTGCCTCCCCAGTGCTAGGATTAAAGGCGTGCGCCACCAATGCCCCATTTATGTTTACATTTTTATACATAGATCAGCTTTGCTTGCAGTCTTGGTCGGAGAAGGTTCTTGCTACAGTGGCAATTAATGTAAAGACCCATAGCTGGTCAACTGCTGAGAATAAGTTACTGTTATGTAAACAGAGCATCTAAGGCAGCCCCATTCTGAGGCTCAGGAAACATCCGGAGATGGGGTGGGAAGACGGTAAGAGACAATGGCAGGAAGGAGCGCTGTGATGATGGCGGCAGGGCGTGGGGTGGGAGAGCTGTGGCATGCTGTCTTCTGGACATGGCATGGCCTTTGCAGGCATGAACTCAGCATCTGTGGTTACCTGCTCAAGTTTCAACACGGGATCTGGAGCAGGGTCATCTCCTACTCAAGCCATAACCAGGGGTGGCAGATTGGAAGATACCGACTGTTTGGACAGGACACACTTAACTTGGCCATCATAAAACATGTACCAGAGAATGAGAATCAGGGGTTATTTTGCACATGCAGAGATTCTGCATAGCCCTTGCTAGCCCCACCTTGGGCTAGCCCTTTCTAGCCCAACTTGAGATCCTCCTTCCTTCTCCCAAATTGGGGTTTACAGGTGTGTGCCACCATGACCAGCTAAACATTATTCTTTCAACACCCTCATGAATTCTCTCATTTTGCAGTTTGTCTTTCATAAAAATTATTATCCTTAAGAGACATCTAATCTCAATGTGCTAGTCCCAGCTACATATGGCTGTCAGTTAAACCACACCCTAAACACAGTTAGCATTCTTTATACCCCAACACACACACACACACACACACACACACACACTTTGCCTATGTAGAAGAAAAGCTGGAGGAAGACTCTAGCAACTGTAGAGTCAGGTGGGCTGTTGGGCTACTCTATAACATACTCTCAGCAAAGGGGGTTTCAATCTGTTTAATTTCACATGACTGACCCCACAACCCCCGTAAATCACACGATTACTACTTCAAGACAGCTCGATAGGTGTCTCCAGGCTTCCTGTGAGCTGCTCTACACTCAGGCGACTGTCGGTTTCCAAGAAAGCCAGAGTGCTCCTTCTGTACTCCCCTAGCAGAGACCTATCATTTGAGGGCCTTTTGAAGCCTGCACTTTGGTTTTCCTGCCCATTCATTAGCCTGACAAACGCTTGTTACCACCTGAAGTGTTTACATTCCAGGCCTACCATCAGTTTCCACTGAGCATCTCCTTGTCCTCTGGAAACCTCTGGGTCCTCCTAATGGATTCCTCTAGAAAAAGAGCACTAGAGTACATCCAGTGCAATGGAGCTCAGGTTCTCACTGCAGACTTCCACAGCGGCCCTGACGGTAGCCTTGGCGCATACCCTGCACCATACAGTGCTTGATAGAGCTATCACTGGGTATCCAGGATGTACCCCATGATATAGACTCTTGTGTGAGAGACTCAGAAAGAAATAAAAGACTGTTGTTGTTTTGAGACAAAGTTTCACTCTGTGTTGCATCCCATCTCTTCTGGGCTTCAGTGGGATCCAGCTGACTTGCTCTGTTTGTACCTGAGAGGGGGAGTGTGGATTGAGAAAGGACAGGAGAAGATGCTAAAAAAAAAAAAAAACAAAAAAAACAGAGACACAGAATAGAGTAGGGAGGGCAATCCAGTGAACACTGAACGATCCAAGTTTATTCTTAAATACCCCAACCAAAAGGGGAACATGGCAAAAGACTTCTTTATCATGTATAAGGAACAAACAAACTTTCTTCCTTAATTCTCCAAACATTTGGTAGCCACACCTTAGACTCAGTTTCCCATTATCAGGCCTTGAGGGTCTAGAGTAGCCACACCTCAGACCAAGTCTGATGTTATTTAGACAAGCTATCCACTGCCAAGATCAAACATCCTACAGTAGCCACGCCTTAGACCTTTCGGTCTTATGACTTTAACCTTGGAAGACTAAGGACAGTTTTGAACTCTCTGACCTTGAGTCAATATGAAGCAGAGCCATCTTTATGGGCCCCGACAATTCTGCAGCTCAGGCCCCTCTAAAGTCACTATACAGCCTAGGCAGGCCTCAAACTCAGAGATCCCCCTGGCCCTCCAGTGTGCTGAGATTACATGTGTGCTCCGTTACACCTAGGGTCCATCTGTTTTGAACATGGCTATATGCAGCACCTAGGTCTACCATCCGGCACATAGGAAAACACAAAAATCAATAGAGACTATGGACTAAGCAAACCGAGCTCTGAGAAATCAAACACAGGAGAGGCTGCACGGAGTGACTCAATCTGATTGATAGTTAAGGGCACCCTTAGACGGGGGTGCAACCCCAGGAGGCTCTGGTCTTGTTCCTGCATTCTCACGGCCATATCTCTCTCTACTTCTCAATGCTAACCATCTGAACTTGCCTCTGTCAGACCTTCCGAGCCTTGGTCAGATTCCAAAGGCTGCCATAGCTTCTAATTCACCTAAGAAAACGAGAGCAACACAGGCCGAGGTTACTGTGGCTGAGCTGGTGGGTTGTATTAAATACTGTTCTAGTGCTGTGATAATACACCATGACCAAGGCAACTTACAGATGAGCTTTTTGAGCTTATGGTTCAAGAGGGATGAGAGTCCATCGTGTTGGGGAAGCAAGGCAGTCAGTGGCAGGCGTGGTGGCCACAGCAGGAGAGCTCTTCAACCTCAAGCAGGAAACAGAGAGCAAGCCTGGAAGTAGGTGAAGCCTTTTACTCTCAAAGTCACCCCCAGTGGCATATGTCCTTCCAGCAAGGCCGCTCTACCTAAACCTCCTCAGCTGGTGAACAAATGATCAGGTGCCCAAGACTATGGGGGACATTTCTCATTCAAACCGTCACATGGGTGTACACATGGGGTGTAATCCCAGAGCCCCGATGCTCAAGCACCACGACTGTGAAGGCTGCATAGCAAGGTGCTTCCTCACAGCCAGTCGGGGAGACGGAATGCATAATCACATTTCCAAGGGTGTGCTTCTAGGGAGACTCTGGAGGAGGCAGAGCACAGTCTCGGGGGGCAGAAGAATGGAAGTGAATGGAAGAAAGGCGGGGATGAAGAAATCAGCTTCTTAGAAGCAGGAAACCAGTGGAGAGTTATAATTGAGGCTGGATAAGTGGTGACGGGTAATAAAGCATATTAAAAGTACGGGCAGCCGTCAACGGGTTATGTGCCAAAGTCTGTTTCTTACTGTTATTCACAGTGCAGACCGCTTGAGACGGAAATGTGGCTCAGTGTTAACAGGGATAGAGCACTGCCTATCATGTGCAAAGTCCTGGGTTTGATGCCTAGCACCACTCAAATACACAAAAATTTCAGAGCAGTTTTCCTTCAAATCTTTTTTAAAAATAATGCATTTTTATTTTATGTGCATTGGTGTTTCACCTGCATGTATGTTTGTATAAGGGTGTCAGGTCCTCTGGAGCTGGAGTAACAGACAGTTGTGAGCTGCCATGTGGCTGCTGGGAATTGAACCCACGTCTTCTGGAAGAGTAGCCAGTGCTCTTAACTGCTGAGCCATCTCACCAGCCCCTGGAATAATTTTTATTATATGAAACAAGTCTACAAATTATGATCCAATTACTGTATGGTCTTCATGTGTAGAATGTGTATTCTTCTCTTCGTGAGATGACTGTATGCGTATCTATGATTGTATAATTACCTAGTAGAAGCACATCTTTCTGTGTTGGAGAACTTTGGTTTGTGCCAACCTTTGAAGAATGTTAGAATCAATCCATATGAGTCTTGGGCACAAGCCAGCAATCTATAGAGGAACGTTCAGAGATAGTTTATTCTGGAGCCAGGTATGAGTGACCAAGGCCCAGAACAGATTCCAGTTGCTCCAAATACCACATTCCTACACAGTACCAATTTAACTATGTTTCATGAAATAAAAAATGAAACAAAAATTTGAAATCAAAGCTTTTGCTTTCAAATGTATTAATGAAAACATCAGGTTGTCAGGTTACAGCAAAGCAAGGATATCTCTGTTAGCAGCCTCAGATGCTCCCCTTTCGTTTAGGGGGAGCAACAGGTGTATGTATACCTTCAAAAGGAATTTTACTCTATATTCATATTTATGCCACCAAATGTGTGGATCTTCTCCACAACAAGAAATACCCCAATTCATAGAAGCCTAAATTAAATTTGAACATGGTTTACCTGGAATTAGCATCAGAGCCCACAAATGGAAGGCCACAATTCTCTCTACTTCAGAAGGCAAATACAAGCTCCACCACCCATGCTACTCACCAGTTGGCCACAAAACCAGTTCCCATGATGCCCTCCTTAGATCTGATAACTTGGTAAAATTGCTCACATAACTCCACGGCCATTTACTTGTTTTTTTTGTTTGTTTTGTTTTTTTGTTTGTTTGTTTGTTTTTTGTTTTTTTTTTGTGAATAGCAGAAAACATTCCCTTCATCTTACTCATGCTCATCATTTGGGTCATTCCAAAGGCTTTAAGAGACAAAAACCAAAATACATTTCATATTGCATCACACCCCTCCCAGGGAAGTTAAGTTACCTTATGTGTCCTTGCTAGTGGAAAGGGGGTAGAAGAGAATTAAAAACAGATTCGGCTTGGTAATGGAAACACAATGCCACTGGCTTTGAAGACAGAAGACAATTTTTCTACAAAGGCAGAAAAGGCAAGAAACAGATCTCCCCTGTAGCTTCCAAAAAACGAGCACGGCCCTGCAGGGACCTTGATTCTAACCAAGCATGTCCTGTGTAGATATAGAGCTGTAAGGTCTTACA